TTTTTGATACGGCATCTTGCTCTGTCACCAGGTTGGAGCGCAGTGGCATAGTCTCGGCTCACAGCAACCTCCACCTCCCGGGTTCAAGAGATTCTTCCGCCTCAGCCTCCCGAGTAGCTGGGACTACAGGTGCATGCCAAACACCTGGCTAATTTTTGTATTTTCAGTAGAGACGGGGTTTCACCATGTTGCCAGGATGGTCTCGATTTCTGGACCTCGTGATCCACCCGCCTCGGCCTCCCAAAGTGCTGGGATTACAGGCTTGAGCCACGGCGCCCAGCCAATACTCTTTTCTTTTACCCTGAAGCTACCAACCAACCAAGAAAAATTCCCCAGGGGTTACAACCTAGCCTTATCTTTACTTCCACCCAGGAATGGGCATTTTACTTTATTGATTCATTGTAAAATTTTTATGAGCACAGTCTGTGTGCCAGATGACAATGAGCAGACAGGGTCCCTGCCTAAAGACCACAGAGCTGACCAATGATAAATACATACCTAAGAATAAACAGAAGTACACATAAGAAAAGTGATTTAACAGGAAGGATGATGAGGGTATATGAGACAGGTGGTCAAAGAATGGAAAGGCTCTCTGGGAGGTAATATTGAATTGAGACTTGAATGTCATAAAGATCTGGAGCAGAGCATTCCAGGCAGAGGAAGCCCATGTACAAAGGCTCTGGGGTACGAAGCTCAGTACGTTCTGACAAAAAAAAAGGGGCGGGGGCCAGCATGCCAGAGGGTAGACGGTGAATGGGGGAGAAGGAAGGAAAGTAGGTAGGTGTCTTTTTTGCTAAAAAACAAAAATAGGGACCGGGCATGGTGGCTCACGCCTGTAATCCCAGCATTTTGGGAAGCTGAGGTGGGTGCATCACAAGGTCAAGAGATCGAGACCATCCTGGCCAACATGGTGAAACCCCATCTCTACTAAAAATACAAAAATTAGCCGAGCATGTTGGTGGACACCTGTAACCCCAGCTACTCTAGAGGCTGAGGCAGGAGAATCACTTGAACCCAGGAGGCAGAGGTTGCAGTGAGCCAAGATCACGCCACTGCACTCCAGCCTGGCAACAGAGTGAGACTCCATCTCAAAAACAAACAAAAAAACACCTTTATTTCTAATGACAAATAATAATTCCAACTATTTTTGGTACAATGTGATGTTGTGACACATGTATACATTGTGGAATGGGTTATGTTTATCAGTTTAATTAACATATCTATCACCTCATATGATTATCATTTCTTTGTGGTGAGAACATTTAATTTTTTTTTATTATACTGTAAATTCTGGGGTACAGTGCAGAATGTGCAGGTTTGTTACACAGGTTTACGCCTGCCATGGTGGTTTGCTGCCCCCATTCCTGATCATCTACATTAGGTATTTCTCCTACCTTCCCCAATCCCCCACTCCCTCCTACCCCTCCCCTAGTTCCCCAACTCCTGACAGGCCCCAGAGTGTGATGTTGCCTTCTCTGTGTCCATGTGTTCTCATTGTTCAAGACCCACTTGTAAGTGAGACTATGTGGTGTTTGGTTTCCTGTTCTTGTGTCAGTTTGCCAAGAATGATGGTTTCCAGCTTCATTCATGTCCCTCAAAAGGACATGAACTCATCCATTTTTATGGCTGCATAGTATTCCATGGTGTACATGTGCTGCATTTTCTTTATCCAGTTTATCATTCATGGCATTTGGGTTGGTCCAAGTCTTTGCTATTGTAAACAGTACCACAATAAACATATGTGTGCATGTGTCTTTTTGTTTGTGTGTTGTTGTTGTTTTTTGAGACAGAGTCTCACTCTATCACCAGGCTGGAGTGCAGTGGCGCGATCCCAGCTCATTGCAACTTCCATTCTCTGGTTTCAAGCAATTCTCCTGCCTCAGTCTCCCGACTAGCTGGGACAACAGGCACGCACCACCATGCCCAGCTAATTTTTTGTACTTTTAGTAGAGACGGGGTTTCACCATGTTGGCCAGGATGGTCTCGATCTCTTGAACTCTTGATCCACCCGCCTCGGCCTCCCAAAGTGCTGGGATTACAGGCGTGAGCCACCGTGCCCGTCCATGCATGTGTCTTTATAATAGAGTGATTTATCATCCTTTGGGTATATACTCCGTAATGGGATTTGGGTCAAATGGTATTTCTATTTCTAGATCCTTGAGGAATCACCACACTGTCTTCTGCAATGGTTGAACTAATTTACACTCCCTGTGGTGAGAACATTTAACATCTACTCTTTCAGCAATTTTGAAATATACATTGTTATTCACGATAGTCACCTTGCTGTGCAATAGATTACCAGAACTTAATCCTAACTTTGTATCCTTTGATCAACACTTCCTCCTTCCACCCAACCCTCAGCTTTGGTAAACACCCTTCCACTCTCTACATCTGTGAGTTTGACGTTTTTTGATTCCACATACAAGTGAGACTGGGCCGCATTTGTCTTTTTTCACTTAGCATCCTGTGCTCTACATTCATCCATCTTATGGAAAATGACAAAACTCTGTTCTGTTTAAAGCCAAATAGTATTCCATTGTGTGTATACACCACATTTTACCCACTGATCTGTCGGTGGGAACTTAGGTTGTTTCCATATCTTGGCTATTATGAATAATATGGCAGTGAACATGGCAGTGCAGATATCCCTTTGGCATACTCATTTCAGTTTCTTTAGATATATACCCGGAAGCGAGGATGCTGGATTATATGGTAGTTCTATTTTTAATTTTTCAAGTAACCTCTAAACTGTTTTCCAAAATGGCTAGAAATTATACCTCCTTTACTCCTCGTGCTCAATAACACTTGTTATTTTTACTCCTCATGCTCAATACTCCTCATGCTCAGTAAGACTTTACTCCTCATGCTCAATAATACTTGTTATCTTTCATTGTTTTGATAACAGCCAATCTAACAGGTGTGAGGTGGTATTTCTTTGTGGTTTTATTTCCTATTTCCCTGATGATTAGTGATGCTGAGCATTTTTCATATGTCTGTCGGCCTTCTGTACATTTCTTTTGAGAAATATCTATTTGGGTCCCTTGCCCATTTTTTTAATATGGCTATTTGTTTTCTCATTGGGTAGTTCGAGTTCCTTGTATATTTTGAGCCCCTTATCTGACGTATAATTTGCAAATATTTTCTTTCAATGTGTGAGTTGTCTCTTTACCTCTGTTGTTTCCTTTGTTGTAGAGAAGGTTTTTAGTTTGATACAATCTCATTTATCTATTTTTACTTTTGTTGCATGTGTTTTTGGGGTCATATGCAAAAAATTGCTGCCCAGACCAATGTCATGTAGCTTTTCCCCCATGTTTTCTTCTAGTTTTTTATACTTTCAAGTCTTACATTTAAGTCTTTAACACATTTGGAATTGAATTTTGTACAAAGGGTGAGATAAGGACACAAATTCAATCCTCTACATTTAGATGGCCAGTTTACCCAGCACCAATTGCTGAAGATGCTGCCCTTTCACCAATGTGTTCTTGGCCCTTCTGTTGAAAAAGCTATTGGTTATAGATGCGTGTAATTTACTTCTGGTCATTCTATCCTGTTCCACTGGTACTTGTGTCTATTTTTTTGCCAGTCCCATACTGTTTTAATTACCATAGCTTTGAAATATAGTTTGAAATAAGGTAGTGTGGTGTAGCCTGCTTAGTTCTTTTGCTCAAATTTACTTGGGCTATTTGGGGTCTCTTCTGATTCCAAATTAATTTTAGGATTGTTTTCTATTTCCATGAAAAATGATGTTGGAATTTTGATAGGGATTGCATTAATCTGTAGACTACTTTCAGTAGACATTTTAACAGTACTGATTCTTCCAATCCATGAAGATAGGATATCTTTCCATTTGTGTCATCTTCAATTTCTTTCATCAATGTTTTACAGTTTCCAATATACAGAATTTTCACCTCCTCAGTTAAATTTACTCCTGGGTTTGTTTTTTTTTTAATGCCATTGTAAACGGGATTTTTTTCTGCCAACTCTCACTTCTTCTATTAAACATAGTCCTAGCCAGAACAATCAGGCAAGAAAAATAAAAAGCCAAATAGGAAAGAAAGAAGTAAAAGCATGCTTGATGACTACATGATCTTATATGTAGAAAACCCTAAAGATTCCACAAAAAATCTGATAGAACTGAGAAACAAATTTAGTATAGTTTCAGGTTACAAAATCAGCACAGAAAAATCAGTAGCATTTTTATACCCTAATAAGAAATTATCTGAAAAAGAAAATAGGGAGGTGTCTTGAGGCAGAAGGAGGCATTTTTACCTTCTCAGTGTGTTTCAGAAAATTTGTCCCTACTTTATAAACCCATAGATTCTTCCCCCAGGAAATATGCATATGTAAAATCCTGAAATTTTCAAAGGAAAGAACTAAATGTCCAAAGAAGGTAAGAAAAATAAAATTACACTTACCATAGGAAACAGCACATACTCTCTGAGGAAATCTTGAGAATCAAATTGATTATAGTCTCCAAAATCAGCTGAGAAGAAAAGAAGGTAGAAGGGTAGTATTTATTATAGGAAATTAAAGATGAAATAAAATAGGGCAAACTCATCAACACATTATTATTCACATTTCATCCTATTTTCTCACTAATATTAAATAAAAATAGTGCCGAGATATGTTTGACATAGTTACTTAGACATAATGACGACTTACATAAATATCAGCATGTACGCACTACTAAACGATTCTTTAGAAATAATGAAATTTGAAAACAATTCCTAAAGGTCACTTCAAAAATTTTAAACAAACCTGTATTTATCTGTTTGTTAAACATGCATCAATTTGTATCTTAAGAACATCTGCCAAGGGGACTTTTTAACTCAAGGTTAATTTGGAGAACTGAAGAGCCATACCCATCTGCATCTTTTCATATATTTGCAGCTGGAAATTCCCACTGTAAATCACCCTTGGCAGGCAACCTCAACTATCTTTACACCTCCCAGATAATTTCACATCTTACAAGATGCCAAAAATTCTGTTTTTCCTGTTTTCATCTCAGAGTGGTACAGTTTGAGCACATGCAAAAGGAAATATATAAATGTCTTCCTTCTTATCTCACTTGCTCTCCTAAAAACTAAACCTGCATGAAACTTTAATTTCATGTAAAACAATTAGCATCAGATAGAAATAGATCCAGGTATCTTTAAGGTAACGAGACATAGAATGAGAGGATACATACACACGAGCATGCACCAATGTTGCGAAGTTGCTGAGAAGGTAAAAAATAAACATCAGCCTACAAACTCAGCATGTAACTAATTACCAATTAGGTGCAGCATTCAAGAATAGCAAAAGTCATGCACTCTGCCTATTTCCAAGTTCAATCATTGGTTATCACATTCCACCACAACTTATATTTCTATTGATACATCTTTCTAAAAACTTCAATAAGGGTTCTCAAGAAAGTTATTTGAAAAGTATTAGAGGAGGTTTCATCAGACTGAACAGCTAGCTTCAAGAACCCAATGAAAACGGAATCCGGAGTAAGTTCACCAAATTCCTCAAGGATCTTCCAATATCCAGATGCCCACAATAAGCCTAATGATTGAGTAGTGAGAGGAAAGAGTACCTGCAGTAAACAAAGGGTTTTATTTATTTGTTTAATTTTCTTAAAGACAAGGTCTTGCTTTGTCATCCAGGCTGGGTGTCGTGAATTGATCACAGCCTACTGCAGCCTCAAACTCCTGGACTCAGGCAATCCACCCACCTCAGTCTCCTGAGCAGCTGGGACTACAGGTGTGTGCTACCATGCTGGGCTAATTTTTTATTTTCACTTTTTTTTGTAGAAACAGGGTCTTGTTTTGTTGCCCAGGGTGGTATCAAACTCCAGTAAAGCCAGCATTCCTGGATGCTGGCTTCAAGTAATTCTCTCGCCTTGGCCTCCCAAAGTGCTGGGATTACAGGCATGAACAACCACACCCATTCCAACGAAAGCTTTTTAAAAGGAGAAAGACTCAATTTGAAGATGAGGGACATATTGATCTTCACCATTATTTCAACAATGCTACCACTGATTTCTCTATCATAACTGGTCACTATTTCTTCTCCTTCCAGTCTTTAAGCAGACAGAGGTGACACATCAGATTTTGCCTGTTTCCAATCACAGAATTACAACAGAAGCTAACTGTATGGGAACTGTACTTTGAACCGAAATTGCTAAGTTGTTAACACCCCATAATGAAAGAGGTCAGGAGAAGGGCTGCCTCTTCAGACATTTAGATCCGAGATGATTCCATTCAGTCCAATGTTTGGGATGGGAAGTCAGTTCACACCTTCTAAAACAACAGTCCACGCAGCAAGAACCCAGCTGCTGGCTGGCTCACACTTGCAGAGAAGCTGATTTTCAAGAAAATCACTAAAAGGAAAAGTTTCCCTTCAAAAATTATATTACGGTGTTCTTGCTTTTTTGAAAACATGTTTTTAATTTTCCTTTTTTGAGACGAAGTCTAGCTTTGTCACCCAGGCTGGAGTGCAGAGGTGCAATCTCGGCTCACTGTAACCTCCACCTCCCAGGTTCAAGTGATTCTCCTGCTCGAGCCTTCTGAATAGCTGGGATTACAGGTGTGTGCCACCATGCCTGGCTCATTTTGGAATTTTTAGTAGAGACAAGGTTTTACCATGTCGGCCAGGCTGGTCTCAAACTCTCAACCTCCAGTGATTCGCCCGCCTCGGCCTCCCAAAGTGCTGGGATTACAGGTATGAGCCACCGAGCCGGCCTATCTTGCTTTCAGTATGACTGAAGGCAGTTAAGGCACCACTCAATAAGCCATAATGTATAAATATACATATAAAGTCCCCCACATAACAATTTAGAGAAGGCAAAAACCAGAGATGTAATATAAACCTATATAGGACAGGATAAAAGATAAATTCAGTCCAATACACATTTGTTGCTTCATGTTACAATCATAGATTTTAAATTTCTCTCTTTAATTGCATTAGAATATACAATACTATAATGTTTAAAGCTATCACACTCTAAGAAGTTATGTTAGTAACACCTTTACAGCATCAAGTCACAGAATATGACCACATTGTGCAGTGGACAAATTCTAAGAAAATATTCCACAATCCCTGAAATGTAGCCTTAATTAAAGGCAGAATAAAAGCTGCTATTTCCTCAAATAAAACTGTAATTATACAAGCATGAGAAGTTTGCAAACAGCTTTGAGAAATCTACTACCCAGCCACCAAAAATCACTAACTTTGCATTTTTCATGTAAGATAACTTAAAATGAAAAGGGAGCATTGCTAAGAGATCATTTAAGTAAATCTAACTTCTCACTCTGAGAGGCCAGCGACACCATGATCAAACAGAATGGAATTTCACATGCTGCTCATAACCATGTCTTACCTTGCACAGCTAGGCCGGCTAGCCGAATCACCTGTTCCAGTGTACATCGTAATCGTCCTTCAAGTACATCTTTTTTGACTTGCAGGTAATACTGATATCTGTTCATGGGAATAGAGGAAAAAACAACCTTAAAAACACACACTTGGAATATACTCCCACAACATAGATGTCTCTAGATGTGAAACCTTGTGTACACAGCGGGATACGCAGGTGATGCTGATAGAGGTCATTTCTGTAAAAGATGGAATGTGACCTCTGCCTGTGTTTATCTTTGTTTGATGTAGCAGGTGCCATATCCTGTTCATTCTGAGCTTGAGAGGATTCTCATAGCATCACTTACTTGTAGGCCAGCAGGATAAACTACTGATAAGGACCAGGTCTTCATAACAGAGTCCAAGAATGAAAATGCTCTTGCACACCTGGATACCCACGACAACACGACTGCCAAAGCTACATTCAACAGTGTGCGTTCCTGAAAGCATTCTAGAAACACATCACCTTTCAAACTCAAAAGTTTGGTAAGGCAGATCACAAACAGGCCAGGTAATCTGTAATTCCACTGAAAAATCAAATACAGTTTTCGCCTTAACATATCTGTGAATCATAAAAACCAAATCTGATGCAACTTGCCAAACTGAAGTAAATTCTCAAACCAGCAAAGTACAGAGGGACAGAACTGTGCCCAGACACATGAAGTCTCAGACTAGATAAGTATCCTCAGGAGCTAATACAGTGTCCTGTTTCTCCACCAATAAAATCACTCTTAGAGTTACCTAAACATTTAGAAAACTTCTCACTCAAGACTTATTTCTCAGGACTCCACTGCCTTTGACGATACTCTCAATACACAGTCACCACTAAAAAAAAAAAAAAAAAAAAAAAAAGCACACTTTCCTAGCATCAGTTCCTGATATATGCTAACAACCCTTTTGCTCCTAGTAACTGTAACTCACTCACTATTTTAACTTCAATTTGGCATCTCAATCAAGGAAACCCAGACGTGACCCAAAGCCCAACTTTCCGGGAGAGAGGCAATCAGTGCTGAGAGCTAATTACTGCTGGCTCTACCATGATGATGTCACAGGCATCATTACACATCAATCAATCCAATGCCTGTTTGTGGGAAGGAATTGGGCTCTGTGCAAACTCCAGTAGAATCCCATACTTCTTATCTGCTCTTGTATTTACTGAACAGGATAAAGACAACCATGTCACTCTTTGGTGGGAAAAACCTATACTCCAATCAGAAGGGCAAACACTGGGAGTTACTTAAAAAGCCTTTTTAGTCAAACCTAATATGAACTAGAAAAAAATCACAAAGCAAAACAAAAAGCAAAATCTCAAGGTAGGAGAAAATGGTAAATTTCACCAATTCTTGCTAATTATAAAATGGTTGAATCTCATCTACATGCCATTCATTCCTTTTCATCCTTCTTGAGTGGTTTTGACTTATTTGCTGCTCTCCAAGCCAGGAAGACAAACAGATCGTTTTAACCCATAGCTATCATGTACTTTCTGTGGGCCTACGTGTGCTAGCTGAGGAGTATCTTGGAGAGTGCTAAAACATTCTCTGCCTTACTTAAAAGGATGCATATATCTTTTTGACCACTGTGATCATGTTTCTGTCTAGTGTACTATCTAAGGGTTCAGTGGTTAAGAACCAAGGAGCAAAACATCTGAAAAGGTGTTATCCCGGCATTATTTGCCAGAGGTAGAGCTTTGTTACCTGTCACCTTGGAGATGAAAATGACCAACTAAGATTATTTATTAGTGGACATCTTTGGGAGTAGACCAGTAACCAATTAATCTGCCAGCAAAACAATAGCTCTAGTTTTTAATAATCTGCTGCTTCCAACTTTCATCTACAACTATCACTTCTATAATGTGCCAGTAAGTTCTATTACAGATCCATTCTATCCTAGGAAACAGTGACTCACAATCCACCAGCAAGGAACACCAGGAGCGTTCCTAATCATGTAGGTTGGGTGTAGGATTTTGCTGGAATATAAAATAAGGAGCTGAAGAAAGCAGGGCTCTCTTCTGGAAGCCTTCCAAACCAGGAGAGAATCTAAACAGCAGCAATGATACGGTGCTATTACCATGAGATTGTGGGTGCTGCTAGGTAAGACTGCAGAAACGAGAATGAAATTCAAACCACTTTGGAAATTGTTTGGTTGGTACAGTTTTGCACAAAAGGCAGTTTTAAAAAATATTACAATTCTATCTAATATGATGACTAAACGACAACAGGAGTTGAAATTCTATTTCTAGAATGCCTACTCTTTGCTTATTTTTCATTAGTAATTCAATTATAACAGTAGTAAAATATAACGGTGAACTCTATTTTGGAAACATGCAATTTCATGGAAGTATACTCCACCCTGTCATAGCTTTGGGTGGAGGGGAAAAGGAAAAAAAAAAAAACAACAATTTTCATGCCAGGAAAGTAAGTATTTGCCAACTTTCCAAAGAGATCCTCTGAAAACCCAAGCTCACAAAGAAAACTTTTTAATATTTTTCATATTCAAAGACCTGGAAATAGTCCATCTGACTCTTAAGGCCTGATGAAAGGTTTTAGGTTAGGATTCTGCTCTTCCTCTAAGAATTGGTGAACATAATTATGCTTCTTGAATAAAGGGAAAATTTTGTATTTTCGAATTTTTTAATTTTGTTTTTAAACAATTTTTTATTAAATGCAGATTTCTCTGAGTGAAATTAAAAAGGCTGCCTAGTAATCAGTGTTATTAAACATCACCAATGGGAGCTAACATGCTACAACTCGGTCTCTGGGGGCCTCATCTAAGATAAGTGACTTTTCCAAGTCACTTCCTGCCCTAGGAGTTTGAAAGATAAAGTTTGAAAAAATGCCCTATTGGGTCAAATCAATAGAGCTGTTGGTACTTTTGACAGAGGTATCAAAGGACTCTTTCAAAATTATACCCCATAACAATATCTCCAACACTTAGAGATGAATGGCTAAGATCCTTACGCTCTCTTTTAAATTCATGTATGAGGAATTTATCTCAGCACATCTGCAACTGTGTTTTATAGTTCTGTTCATTCTTCTGAGTGAGCAAGTCCGTGTGGTGTTCTGAAAAGCATGGGCTAGATGACCTCTGAACTACAAATAAGGCAGCAGGAACTCTGAGGCCGGGTACATGTCACTTTTAATGTAATTTTCCCCACAGGTGAAATACTCATTCCAAGTCCAGTTCAGCAGATGTGCCCCAAACAGGGGACAGCCATGTAAAATGGTCAAAGCCTTGGGATCTGAGTTTGGTCATACTGCCACCACAGGAGGCAACATGCTCAGCCTAAGTCACAGGATGGCAAAGACAGGAGGAGCAGGACCCCTGCCAGGGTTCCAAATGTCTGCTGCCCTCCCGATGGAGTCACGCCCGCCTACCTCGTTACTCCTGGGACCAGCTTTCGGGCCAGTGAAATGGGAATGGAAATGGGAAGTGACTGTTGCTCCCAAGCGAAAGTGTCCAGGGCCAGTGACCGGTTCTCCACCTCTGCTTCCCTTTGCTCTGAGACCTGCATGAGCAGGGAGGGCCTGCTGTTAGTGAGCCCGAGCCCTGGGCATAGACGGCTGGGAGCAGAGCCTCAGGCGACCCACAGTGGCAGGTGGGCAGCAAATAAACCTTTGTTTGTAAAGCCACAGAGGCTTGGGGGGTCATACAACATTGCAGCATGATGGTGCCTAAGCTGTTTAATAAGGGAAGGATTTTTAAAATCCCAGTCCAATCCTTTCACTTTTTAGAGAAGGCAACCGTGCTGAGAGAGGAGAATGACTTGTCCAAGGTAATACTGCTTCCTTAAAGACCAGGTCAGAACCAGATCTGAGCATGGACAACCACAGAGGTGAAGGCAGGATGTGATCCCTGCCCATTCTGGGCAAGCCACCAATTTCACTGAAGTCTAAAAATAAAAGCAAAAACAAAACACCACTACCTGGTGATTTTTATGATCCTTCTAAGGAAAGGCTGCAATCCCCGAGCTTTTCCCCGTCCCCCCTTAGACAGTCTGTGCCACAGCATATGAGGCAAATGTCGGAATGTGAAACTTTTCCATAAAATCCTATTACAGAACATGTTTCATACTGTGGCCAGTGGTTATTCAGATCTGTTTTTTCTCCTGGCAGCGGCCTCTGGGATATTTCACTTTTCTCCCCCAGAGACAGAAGGAAGGGAAAGAAGACTGAGTTATACATTTTTACTGTTTGTTAACAACTTTCTAAGAAGGATAGAGGGATAGAAGTAAAATCTACAGACCAGAGTTTCTGATTGTGGGCTTCTCCTAGAAGGAGCAGCTGTGTCCAACAGCAGGTACAAACTGAGCCCTTGTGTGTATGTATTTCTAAATGCGGATTTTTTTTGAAGTAAAATGCAATTCATCATCAGTATCACACACAGGTCTTTACTTGTTTGCACCGAGTAGCTTCTATATTATGGATCATAAAAAATGTTAAGCAAATTTAATAGCACATATCAGCCATTCATTACTCTTTCTCCTCCTACTGCTCAAGGAGGTCTGAGAAAAAAAGAAACTCTCTTTCACAGTTAAAAACAGGTTAGTGAGAGCACTCGGGAAGCTGTAACTACCAACCTGCAGCATCTCCATCAACAACACGGCTCCTGGTCTGCTCTTCCCTCCTCAAATTTAGTTAAATGAACCTATCTCTCCCCATAGTCATGCTCAGTAGGGATGTGACAATTTGGAGAGAGAGGCCATCCTTAAATTCCTCACTTTTTTTTTTTTGAGACAGAGTTTCACTCTTGTTACCCAGGCTGGAGTGCAATGGCGCGATCTCGGCTCACCGCAACCTCCGCCTCCCGGGTTCAGGCAATTCTCCTGCCTCAGCCTCCTGAGTCGCTGGGACTACAGGCACGCGCCACCATGCCCAGCTAATGTTTTGCATTTTTTTTTAGTAGAGACGGGGTTTCACCATGTTGACCAGGATGGTCTCGATCTCTTGACCTCGTGATCCACCCGCCTCGGCCTCCCAAAGTGCTGGGATTACAGGCGTGAGCCACCGCGCCTGGCCAAATTCCTCACTTTTTGAAGCCTTTCCATAAACCTACTGGAGTGGAAGACC